GCTCTGAATATTTGTTTTTTTGATTTCATTTGTTTTTCTTTTAGTAGACTTTAGTCAAGCAACTAGTCTTACTATACTAGCCTATTCTGGTTAGTAACAACTCCTGATTTGCACACTATAAACCCCCGAACCGATTAGGTGATTCCGGTCTAACGACTGACCCGATACCCTAAGGTTTAAATCACTAAACCAAGCCCACAACGCGCGGTGGCTTCCGGCTTCATGTTTGCCCACCTTTCTCGGCACACTACTTCAGCATCTTCCTCTGACTAGTGACGTAGTTTTAGAAAATCAGCTGCGAGCTGCGTATAACAAAGAAAGACCCACATCTCGTTCGTTTGACCCTGGTCGGGTAGCCCATTCATCGACCTGCTCACAAGTGAGATACAGTACATGCTCCCAGATGGCACCACCCTTGTGTCAATGCGTTCACGCAAAAGACCTAACCTAAGCCCCTCCTCCTCTGCAGCATGGCGCCTCTCAAATCTTTTGAGTGAGTCGTTACCGTCCATAGTCCATAGCATTGAGAAAGTGAGCCGCTCCTCTCCCCGTAGTCGGTACATGCAAGGTGGGCTGACATGGCACAGATTCCAGTCAGGATGGTCGCGGCCCAGGGCCCTATTGACGCGCGCCTCAATGCCAGCACAAATGGCGAGGTATAAATCATAGGCAAAGCTGAATTGTCAGATTTGCCACTTTCCCCAGGCTTCCTATAGCTAGTATTAGTAATGACAGATGGATAAAATGAGTGACGTACCCCATGGAGATCAGACATTGTCCTCACAAAGGCCTGGTGCGAAAGCTGAGGGCACCGGAAGTGCGCAGTGCGGTATAGCTCCATTGCACTGATGGAGAAACCAGTGGCTGGTGTGGATGGCGCAGTGGGCATAATTCCTCTAGCAATCAACGCAGGGCAGGGGCTGGGGTCAGTATACAGATATGCTACATTTAAGGTTGTTGTGGCTGTAAATCCGCTTTAAACATGCTCTCAAGAGCTCCGATTCTCTTATCTATCAAACTGTTCAAAGCTGTAGCACTGCAGTATTGTATTTCTGGGACTAGCTCTTGCCCTAATATGCCTGTGGTCCATGGCTCACAAATGCATTTTTTTTTGATCTCTTGTGGCCAGGAGAAAGTGAAGTCATTGATATATTCACAGTAACATAGAAAGATACAGCAGTTTGCATATTTACGTGGACAACGAAATTTCTCGCGCAAGGGTGTGGTGTGGAATTGTGACCAGTGACAACGGGCACCAATCTACAGCCAATGCTACGGACACCTCAACCTCACGCACAGACTCCAATTTTGCCTGTATTTCATCAAGGTATAGGCCAGGATTGGCTTCGAGTATAGACTGGATGTAGTTTATGTCTCCCTCATCAAGGGCTGCCTGTCTGTCCCATATGTCCCATACAGCTGCAAAACCTTTGACACTAGGCTTTTGGATACCCGCTGCTTGGCAGCAATCTGCCGTACAGTCATTTGCTCCTGAAAGTAGTCTAAGATGATTTTCTCTTTGATTTGTTCCACTATGGCGCGAATCATATTGCGAGCACGATGAAAGTAAGAAGATAAGATGATCTGGCATGACATGTGGTCACAAATTCCATGCCACATGCGCGCGCGAGAAATTTGGTTGTCCACGTAAATATGCAAAGCACTGTAAAACTCATCCAGCTTGACCTCCACAAACTTGACCTCCGACAAAATACGGGTCATGAGATCATACACTTGTAAAAACGTGTCCCTCACCAGTTCGGTATCTTGCCGAACCTCCCTTGACATATGACCCACACCCTTTAGGTCCTGCAGCATCTTGCGACCTCAAATACAGTGTGTATCGAGGATTCTGAGAAGCTGCTTCAGTTTCCTAGGGCCCACCGCCTCAGCCCGTTCACGATCACCATTGAACCCCTCCGTCCAGCGTGTCTCAGGCCCCCAATTGTCAGCATAAGTCCAGTCGTGATAGTTCGATTGTATGTGCACCAACGTGCGGTAAAGATCGGCCTTGCTTGGCGCATCCGTCAGCTTGCCATTGTTTTCAGGCCAAGGCATAGAGCAAGGCGCAGCCTGGTTGATGTTGTTGCTGGAGGCACGGCCCGCCTTGTGTGTGGTAGCTAATTGTCTTGATCTAATTTCTTATGCATAAGTAGGTGTCCATTGAACATGTAAATACACACCTTGCTTTTCTTTTGCGGTCTCTTGCTAGTCTCTGTTCTCTCAGTCTGTGAGAAGTATCTATTAGTATGTTGCTTGGTGAAATTGCTATAAACACAGGGCTGAGCACGTACAGCGGGTCTGTAGGATTCCTAAATTTGTGCTGCGCCCTCTTTTTGGCCTCGGAGGTGCCCATTGTAGTTGGAAGAGGCCTACAATCGAGGTGGCAATGGCAGGGAGGCTATGAGAAGCTGGAGCCAGTTGCGGTCCACGATGTCCGCAATACCGTCCACGATACGTCCACACATCAGGAAAATCACACTTCGCCAATTGGGGCCAATTGGCTCCGCCGCGCCAATTCGCGACAATTGTTAACAATTGGTTAGCAATTGTTGCACATGGGATTGGTGAAATTTTGAACTTGCAGAGTAATAATATATATTGATCATAGCAAATCAAATTGAAGTCCTGGGTCAGTAAAACGAGGTTGAACAAGGGTTGCAATAGGAATGCAAGCATATTTAGCTCAAATCATGCGTGAGAATTTAGCGAAGCCGCGAGGCCACGCAAGAGACAGAAGTCAAAAATCATTTAAGTCATTTCAAACTCCGCTGATCGGGGACTCGCGTTGACAGGGCACTGTTCCGAGCTTTTCCGTCACTCACCTTTCTTTCTTTCTTTCTCCCCACACTGTCCTCCACGATTTTCCCCTCTGTCTTGCCTTCTCCCTAGGGCTAGCAATGGCAGGAGGCACATACAGCAACCAAACAGGTGAGCACCCTACACCTTCCCAATATATGGTGGGGCTGTCTCCTCCCTACCACTGACACTAACAGGACACATGCTGCAGAGACTCTGACGCTGCGACACCTTCGCACCATGCTCACATATCCCGCATATACCAGGTATGTTCCCTGCCACATCCCAGTCCATCCCCGCTTCTTGCCCAGATAGTCCCTTCCGCTTTGTCATTTTATACAATTCAGGTATGTTGTGCCGTGCCAGCA